TCTGGACCGTTGGATCTGACCCAATCCAACGGCCAGAAGCAATTTCAACGGCCAGAAGCATCAGCCGTCACCGGAAATGAAACCGGTCAAACATGCAACAAACACGTTCCATAACAGAACGCAAATCTCGCAAGAATCGAGTCACAACAGCTCAGTCTCCCACAGGCCGAAAATCGCGCCACCATACGGGACTGACCCATCCCGTGAAGTTCGGTAACGCTCACCGGCCGAGAGAGTATAAATACCCCCAGAGAGAAGACAGAACAGGGGGAGAACCCACACGGAACCACAGCACCGAACACCACACAGTACACTGCTGGAGAAACACAAGCATCATCGAGAGATACCGAGAACCATCGACCACAAACCGGTCTACACAGAACAATACCCAAAACCACAAAAACAAAAAAACAACAGAAACCAAAAGCCAAAGCAACAATCACTAGAAAAATCACAAAAAATCGAGGGTTACTCGGTTTTGGTCATCGAGAGTACGCAAAAGCCTAGCCATAACCGAGGAGTGGCCGAAACTCAAGAGACGCCGGTTTTAAAGGGTAAAAAAAACCGAAACTTACACTTTAGATCTGCGCCGTTTTGGGGATATTTGTGGGATTTGGACTTTGGATCGACGCTCGGGGTATCAAGGAGAGTGTTCTGGGCTTGTTTAGATTTTTCGGCCACCGCCGGCGGTGGCCGGCGGCGGCGTCTGACGGTGGCCGGAAATCGCCTGGGTGGAGGTTTTCTCTCGTTTGAGAGAGATGAGATTTCTGAGGAAATGAGGAAAATGAAAGGGAAAGGGTCTTTTGGCCCATTTATATACGGAGGACCATTTTGCAAATAGCTTATTCTTAAATTCTTTCCGCCGTCCCTGGAACTTTGAATCGCTTTGCAATTCGGTCACTACCTGTAAATTTGCCTCCGAATTTCCAATTTAATCAATTTAATCCCTATCTATTTATATTTTTTTTTTTGTATTTTGTGATTTGGTCCCCTAACTTTTTATTTGTTCTTTTGCAGTCCATTTTCTAACTCATTAAGCTCAATTTGTTCCAATTTGATCCTAAGTTTTTATATTTTTTTTACCTATTTTTATTTATTTTTTATTGTTAGCATTGTTTGAGTAATTTTTTTTTTATCTAACATATTTTGTTTCAGTTGTACTTCCAACCAATCAAAAGGTAAGTAATTCGAATCGGATTTTTAAATTTCAATTTAAATTCTTAATTTTCGTAATAAAAGACAACCGACAAATTAATTGGTACCGAAAGGGCGGTTCAAGGGTGCTAATCCTTCCTCGACCGTAACCGACTCCCGAACCCGACACGTTTCTGGTACAACGCAGATCAGGTAAGATGGTGTCCGACCCACCTAAATTTGTTTTAAAGTGGTCGGTGGCGACTCCAACCCAATTATTTCAAGTCGAAGCCCAATTCCCGGGGCCCAACCGGAAGACGGTTCCGACAGTAACCACGGAGGGCATTTCATAATTCGAAGGTCTTCTACGGAAGCTGCTCTCAACCTGGTATTGGGGCAACCTACTATCTTACCTCACCCTTATCCCATTACATATGAGAACAAGGGACAACCATATGAATTTGAAATACATATTTCATTATCCAGAAGTTGGTTTACAAGATTTGTGAGCTCAAGCATAAAAGAAAGCAACTTATAATTGATATATTAATGGACTCACTAAATGGTCTCAATGGTTAAAAGGAAGTATTATTTTCTCTTGAGGTATTGAGTTTGAACAATTATATCTACCGAATGTGTATTTTTTTTGTCAATATTAAAACAAATTCAAAATAAATACTACTATTATAATTATCCAGACTATTGAAAAACAGATATAACTAACGGGGTTGGTTCAAGTGGTAAGCAGCTTGATATTGCTTAAGCAATGTCTCTCAGGTTCGAGTCCTTGTGTATGCAGAAAATCCCCGTTGGGAGACTCACCCACTAAAGTCAGGTGTGCGACTCGGGTCGATCCAAATTAATCAGACCGAAGCCTTGGAACTAGAGGACAACAAAAAAAACATATATTAATAAAGCAACACCAAGTTGAGCGAAACCAATGTATCACCCATCAGTAACCACATTTTGCCTTGTAAGTTTATGATTGTAAATATAAAACTCGTCTCATTTTGCACCTAATTAAGAAAAAAAAATACATATTATACTATATTGTAGGTGATGGAACATATGTGATTATAATTTTATACTCATCCTATCCTCCTCGTCTTGTATCATTATTTTTATAAAAAAATGTAATTCAATTACATTAGTCATAAATGACATCAGAAACTAAAAAATTCAAAATAAATGGTGGCAGCTCATAAGCAGGTTACATCAGCATGATGGGTAGGGATGACAAACGGGTATAATTTCGTGGATTTCGCATTGCATCCACTTCAATTGGTGTGAGGATAGATATAAGTTTAGTGCACAGTGAGCGGGTGTGAATGTAAAAAGTCATACCCGTCGTGGATAATAGGTAGATGATTGGTTTGAAACCTTGCTCGCTCTGCATCCTCCTATCGTATCTGCCCGTTCACTAATTACCCCATATATAAATTTTGGGCCATTATGAATTTAAGTATAAATTCAGAAAATATTCTATAAGTCTTAAAATTTTATAAGACATCACTCGTAATTTAACCAAATGTTACGGTATAAACTCAATTAAATCTTCATTTATTTTATTATGTTTCTTAATGGATGTGTTTATTTTTTGTTTTATTGCTTATATATGTAATCTTTAAAGTTGTTGTGGACGAATACTAGAGGGTCCGCCAATTGAATAGTGGGTATAGTGTAGGGCTGGCAATGGATCGAAGATGGGTCGGGTGGAGCATCATCCACCCCATCACCTGCGGTCTAAATCTCCATCCACACCAACAAAAAATTTTATCCATATCCACTCAATCCATCAAGGTGGAACAGATGAGAAATGTATGATACTATTTAAATGTAAACTCGACTCAAAAACTCACGAGCCTAAAATTTTTAAGCTCAACTCGAATTTGAAAGATAATATTAAAACTCAACTCAAACTTGAAAAAACTTGAACTCAAAAAAATTCAAGAACTCAATTGAAACTCGAGCTCAATTGAAGCTCAATTTTGAGCTCGAACTCACCCATTACCAAAAATTATAATGTAGGCTCTCCTATAGTGAGAGACCTTTGGCGAGCGCTCCTCCCAAGTACAATGGAGGTCGCTTACCTAGGCCATGAACCTTGATGATAGTCTATTAACCCCATCCAGGTAAATATGTTGAAAGGTGGTAGATGCCTTTTATTTATAATGCCAAATAAGTGATCCACTCATGTACTTCTCCAATGTGGGATATTGCTTCAGCATAAAATCACTCTTTACTCAAACTACTAATGGTTTTTCCCATGATTTGCCTATATTCCCACCTGGTAAGCTGTATTTTTATGCATGTTGGATAGTTTTCTGCTATGCATCCAAAAATTTGTATGCTTAAGACCTTGAAGAATTCCAAATACTTGCATATTAACTCAGGAAGCAGATCAAGAACACAGACCGATGAAAACTTCAGGGAGATAGAAAATATCAGGAAATTACTATCGAGTTGAAATATTCTCAAAATAATTCCACCAACATGGTATACCTTAAGAATCTAACAAGCCATCACACGCACAATTCTATGCCATACAAATGACTCTATAGTTAAAATTACAGGCTATCAAAATATATCTATTAACCAACCAAATGATCATAAACACTTCATCTACCATCAAAATTCGGTACATTTAACTTTCATATTTCAGTGATTACTGCATTAATTTCCAGACTTCATAATTAAGCAATTAAAACAAATATCAAGCCATTGGCTTTCTACGCAACCTCAATTATCTGTAATTTGGATGTTAAAATCAGATTGACTCAATGCACACCATGGTAGAAGATTGTTAATGTGCTTACTTCACTGGTGCCACCATCTCCAATATACGAGACAACACATGCTTTCTTGTTATCCATTTTAAGAGAATAAGCAATGCATGCAGCTTGAGGAAGTTGTGTTCTAAAAAATAAAGTCCAAAAGTTGGTAAACTGAACTAGATTTGAGCAAAATTTGTGCAGAATTAGTGGAAGGTTTAGATGTATTTACGCAATAGGGGAAGAAATGGTGAAGAAATTATGCTTTTTGTACCCATATTAATAGACATATTTTCAATGGGATAATATATATATATATATGGATGGAGGATATATTAATGGGTGGATGGATGATGCGGGTGATGGGTCAAAAAAAGTTCATCCATATCCGACCCGACCCATCACCCGATCCATCCATCACCCGCCAATCATCCGTTTCACAGCGAGCTTTCGTCCATTTATTCGGGGCGAGTGGGTGAATAATCCACTCACCCATGGATAATTGCCAGCCCTAGTGTAGGGTAATATACCTACGTGGACGGATGCAGATTTAAAAAAAATTCCCTTAGTGGGTGATAGATAAGTAACGGGTAGTGGGTGATAGATAGGTAATGGATACTAAAATATTAGATAGGTACAAGGATGGTGATAAATCTGTTATTTGGGAGATGACACATAAAACCTTTCTTTTATTCCAAAGGATAGAATCGTGCATGCAATAAGATCGAACTCTTTTGACGGGTTCGGTTGTGTAATCGAGTATAATGAAGTATTTACCAGCCAACCAAACCTAATGGGATCCATCACATTTTAAACGACAAACAATGCTTTTCATTTCCTAAAATCCTGTTAGAAAAACATAAAAATGAAATGAAATGACCACTGAAAATGAAAAACATAACTAGTAGTAATTTTTCTAGAACATCGTCACCTAAAAGGATTTGACATAACTGCTTAGATTTAAAGACCACCATTATTACATTAACTTGAAATGTGCTTTAAAGTTTGGCTTCTATCATCATCCATGCCGGCCATATCTTATTATCAACACTGAACAGAGAGTTTAAAACAACGCTAGGGGTGAAAGAACAGCACTCAAATTCAAAGCTTCGCATAAGTAGGTTTCCTTTTGTGTTTTTGAGCAGAAATCGCCTGTGTTAGATCATCTGACAGAAGCATGGAAGAGTTCCAAGTTGCAACATACTCTAATCCTTGTTCCACATTCAGATCCCTGCTTCTTATCAACACCGCTTTTGTTCCCACCACTGCAAGCGGCGGCTTCCCGCCGATTCCTGCCATCCAATTTCGAAACAACCCATTTCATCATTCATGCCTAAATCCTCAGCAAAATGTATTGAATTATGATAAGGAAATTACAAGCTCGACTTACCCTCTGCAATGGTGCGAACACCTTCCTTCAGCTCCTCCCTTGACCCGAAAACCCGAGAAACCAGACCCAATTCCTTTGCCTCCTCACCGGAGAACCTCCTTGCCGTCAACGATAACTCCATGGCGTTCCCAAACCCTACTATCCCAGGTAATCTCTGGAGGGTACCGAGATCAGCGGCGATGCCCACATCGACTTCCTTGACAGAAAAGAATGCATCCTTACTACAATACCTTATGTCACAGGCTGTCACGATATTGATCCCCAAGCCAAGACACGCACCGTGTATGGCCGCGATCACCGGTTTTCGGCACCGCTCCATGGCGGTGATCGCATCCTGCATGAACTTGAGACGTCTCCGCAACCGCTCCCCAACGCGGCCGTGATCTCCAGAGTTATCTTTGGAGATAGATGCGAGGGTAGTAAGGTCAATGCCTCCGCAAAAGTGATTGCCGGCTCCGGATAGAACGATGGCGGTGACGGCAGGGTTTTGATCGAGCGCACTGAGAGCTTTGGGGAACTCACTGAAGAAATCGTTTGAAAGTGCATTACTGACAGATGGGCGGTTTAAGATTAAGTCAAAAACTCCCGAATTTGGGGATTCTTGAAGAATTTTCAGGGTTTCATACTTGTCTTCCATGATTCTCTCTCTCTCTGGGAATGAATGATGAACTAAATTGATCAAAACTAAGCCTTGATCTTCGTTATAATCTACAGCTGCCGAAATCAAGAACAATCATGATTTAACATTTAAGCACACAATTTCTCTATGAAAACCAAGCAAAAGACATATAGACTGCAACAATATAGCAAAATTACAAGACCTAAAATCCAACAAAGAAGACTTCAAATTAAGATTTTGATTTCATCCCAGAAGAAAAAGAACATAAACCCAGAAAATAATTAAAAGTAAGAAACAAACCAGAGAACAGGAGTCAGGAGGGCTGAACCTGGGTGAGAGAAGCGATGTCTGGCAACGAAAATGGAAGAAAACAAGTGATATACGCTATGTAGACATCATTTTTTTTTTCATTTAAATTTATTATTATTATTAAATTTATTATTATTATTATTATTAAATATTATTATTAGTATATTATTATTAAATAATTATTACAAACCCATTTACAAAGCCCAAATAATAACCCTAAACCCAACTTGGGTTTTCCATCTCATCCCCAGCCGCCAGACGATCTCCACCGTTGGATCTGGCAAGATCCAACGGTCCAAAGTTTTACAACAAGACGCCCTAGGGTTATGATACCCTAGGGACCACGCGGCCGCCGCTGTCGCCACCACCAACGACACCCTCGCCAGAAGCCTCCAGAAGGTCAGCTGCTCCCCACATGTCACGGCTATGGGGTGAGTCACCACATAGCTCGGTGACTCACCGAAATTCCCCCTCTAGACCGGTCCGAGCATGGCTCGGTGGTGGCTATAAAAGCCACCGGATCCTGCAAGAAAAAGAACGGACAGCCACGGGGAGACAAAAAACAGAAAAGAAGAAAAACAGGAAAAAAGAAAGAAAGAAAGGAAAGCTTACCGAGGAAGCCACCGGTGATCGAAGACGCTACGGGCCGACCAAACTATTCGAAATACCCGAAGGTATTTCTTCAGATCTACTCCAATCGGGAGTTTTTAGGGGAAACTAACGCCTGATTCGGCCTAATAGGGTTTAGGAGGTTATTTTGGGGTGTTTAGGAAAAATCCGGCCACCGCGTGTGGTGGCCGGCGGTGGTCGCCGACGCCGGAGTGCGACTGCCGGCCGGGTCTCTCTCTCAGCTTTAGAGAGAAATGAGAGAGAATTTAAATTCTCTCATTTAAGAGAGAGAAGAGAGAAATGAGAAATGAGATGATGGCCCTTCGGGCAGCCAGCATAGGGTATTTATACCCTCTCTTAAACGGCGTCGTTTAAGGGAGGACCTGCGTGTAATTTGGTAAAGGTTAAACCCTTTCCGCAGCCATCCTAACTTGTAATCTTTACATTTTAGTCACTAATCAAATTTATAATCCTTTTAATTTGGTCTCTAAATTTTATTTATTTATATTTTAGCCATTAACCGTATAAATAATATATTTATGATAAATAGCAGATTTGATCCCTTAATTTTAATAAATAATATTTTAATCCCTAGTTTATATTTTTTTTTATTTGAATCTAATATCCGAATTTTAGATAATTTTATTTTAGTCACCAAATAAATAAAATAAAGAAATAACATATTTAATCCCTATAGTTTTGATTAATTATGAATTAGATTTTTTAATTTTATTTTTACTATAATTTAGTCATTTATTTTATATGTTTTAATTTATTTTATTGTTTTTTTTATATATTGTTTTAGTAGAATTTTTTCTTTTATTATATTGTTAAATATTTTTATATATTCATAAATATATATATAATAAATAATAACTTTTAAATATTTATTTTTAATATCGAAGAAAAGGACAGTCTTAATACAACTGGATGTCCTATTCTGATATTTTAAAATTAAAAAGTAAACAATATTATTTAAAATTAATATTTATCAATATCAAAGAAAAGAGCTGTCTTAAGGCACCTAGAAGTTCTTTTCGGAGATTTTTAAATAAATAAATATTTTTTATAATTTTGAAATAATAGAATTATAAATTAAATATATTTTTGAATATTTTTAAATTTTAATAATAGAGACAATTTATAATTAAAAAGTACCAATTTTGGGCGTTGTAGGGGTGCTAATCCTTCCCTAAACGTAACCGACCACGAATCCCTTTTTATTATTAAAAAGAATGAATTTTTGGTTAAAACGCAGATCAGTTTATCTTTTAATTGGTGTTTTCTTAAAAACTCTTTTAAAAGAAAATTTTTAGGTATTCGACCTACCTGATTCAAAAGGTCGATGGCGACTCACAAATTATTTTCAAAATTATTTATAAACATCAATTTACCCGCCAAATTTAATATTTCGTGCCCGGACGAAATCCGGTTACGACAGCTTGGCGACTCCGCTGGGGAATGTCAAACTTTAAAATCAATTATAAATTGTCTCTATTAATTAGAAATTAAAAATTCATTTATTTAATTTTTAATTCTTTTCTTTCAAATTTTTATTATTTATTATTTTTATATTAATATATTTTTTTTTTATTCAGGTATTAATTATTTTATTTATCTGTTAGAGGTTTGAATATTTCTCCTCACACACAACAACACTTGCATAACATAAAGCTCTATAATTGAGTTTGTCCTTTTAAGTGGAAGTGAAAGCGACGTCTTCGTGAGAATTTATTCTCCGTGTTAGACCTAGCAAGTAACTTTCGGGGTTCATATGCTCTATGTCTTCGTGAGAATTTATTCTCCGTGTCAGGTATAGAGAAATGTGTCCCCTCGAATTGAACTCGATCCGTTTAAAGTCTGTAATGGACTAGGATTGAGGGTTGACAGCCCAAGGGGGCATCAACAAGGACAATTCGAGTACCTTTACTCCTAGAACTGAAACTCTGCATATAATAAACCCTAGAAATTCACCTAATCTAAGACAGTACTGAACCTCTGTTCATAGGTGTACACAAAGGAGAAATAAGCTCTAGCTTTTAATTTATTTATTTATTATTATTTTTTCTCCCTGAATAAATGCCTGCGAACTAAAAATCATGCGGTTAGGTTAATTTTTCCTAACAAAACATGGAACTAGAAAGCATGAGGTTAAGATTTATACCTTGATAGATAGATTTTTTTCATTAGTTGGTACTAACTATTTTATTTTTTCTCATTTCTTTTGTTTGCATTGCATGATCATAGCATAACCAAAAGGTGTTTACTTGAAAGACTGTTCATCATATTGGAAAGAAATCGTAAATGGACAAAAAGTTTTATGATCAAACAAAATATGATGCGGCCAAAGAAAGACATTCTGAGGAAACTCCGAGGATAGAAGCAAGCTATGTACCCAAGATCGTATGACCATTAAGGAGCAAGAGGAGATACGAGAAATAAGAGAGCAGATGTCCAAGATGATGGATAGAATATCTGTGTTGGCCAAAGGAAAAGAGATTCCAGCACAGAAAGAGAGAGAGCTCAATGAACCTAACTCTGCAGTTTCAGATACGCAAGGGATTTCGATTCCTAACCAATTAGAGAAATTACAGACATTCATCATTCGTATTCACAAATCGTATGGAGATACCAAAGAAATGGTGACAACCGTACAAGCTCCCAGAGAAGAGAAGAAATCATGTAATCAGAAATCATCAAAGTCTGGTCTGCTCCCGATGTCTAAAATTCGTTCAATCCAAGACAAAAGGTGGCTCTCATCTTGATACTATACCCATATCATATAAAGAGTTGTATGAGAAGCTATTTGAAGCACAAGAAGTGGATCCATATTATATAAAACCGTTCCAACCTCCGTATCCAAATTGGTATGACATCAACGTTCATTGTGAATATCATGCTGGAGCTCAAGGACATACCATCGAGAATTGTCTTGCCTTCAAACGCCGAGTCCAAAGTCTTTTGGATCATGGAACCTTACAATTTATGGTAAATGATCGACCTAGTTTGGTAATTAAGGGTCCTGATAGATTAATACCAAAGTCTTCAAAGGTAAGAATATCAGTAGGGGCGCCCAGAGAGAGAAGATTTGCTGAGGTTTGAAGCTCAAATACGTCATTTGAAGATTGAAAACGATAAATTGAGCACCAAAATGGAAACCATACATGAAGACTTCCGGAAGGTCAGTCAAGCTTTTCAAAATGCTGGTATAGGAACACCCCAGAAGAGTGGATATCAGGGGTCACTAAACTGAAAAAGAGTTGCAGCATACATGAATATCTTCTCCAAAAACTTTTTGAACACAAATGTTCTCTCGCAAAGGAAAATGATCAACTACAAGAATTAACATAGGAGATGAAAGAACCCCAGAATGTCATGAAAGAAGCTGCAGTCCAGACAAGCAATATGGCCCATAAGCTGATAATCTAAATTGGTTTTAGAGAAGAAAATGGGAAAGTTATTCCCTATATGTAAAGTTTTGTTGAAATTAGGATTAAAAGTTGTCCCTACATGTAAAAGTTTTGTTTGATGTACTGAAGCTTTTGTGTTCAATGAAATCTGTTCTAAGATGATCACTCTTAAGTAACACCTTTTCATACATGCATTTACATTTTGTATCTGTGCATTTTCATTTTGTATTTTTATCTTTGAATTGCACATTTTGCATTCTTATTTTTCCATTTATGCATTTTTTCACATTTTTATTTAAGTACTGTCATGTACTTTAATTATAAAAACATATAAATAATTCATGAAAGGTTTCTGTAACAGTAAAAACCAAGATCATTCATTTATTTTACTGTACCATCATCATGAAAACAATGGAGCAATCTTATGAAGGACTACAAGACTGTTGTCCAGAACCATTGACAGGGTTACCTCGGGATACAAGGAAAGAAGTTTCAGATTCAGTACCAGATGGATCAGATCAAATTATCCAGGGAATGGAATCTGATAAAGAAGATACAACTGCTATAGAGAAATCGTGCTATCAGATTGAAGAGTCGAGAAAGATAACATACCTTGGGGCATCCCACTCAAACCCAAAGAATAGCCTCATTAATTATTCACAATATGAGGAGAAAGTCAAGAGGACAGAGAAAGCAATCAGAAACATGAAAGATGTTGATACTTCCCACAAAGAATTAGAAGCAAGATAGCTCAGCTTGATTCCAGATTTGATTATTCCCCATGAATTCAAAATGCCTGATTTTGAGAAATATGATGGCACAAGTTGTCCCTTAATCCATTTGAGAATGTTTTGCAGAAAAATGGAAGGATATTTGAGTTCTAATTCACTCTTTCCATGATAGTCTTGTTGGCCCAACAATAGTATGGTACAATCAGTTGACCCAAGAACAGATCAAGAAATGGGTAGATTTAGCTGATGCATTTTTGGGACAATATCGGTTTGTTAAAGGCTTAGCTCCAACACGTATGGATCTTCGAAGAATAAAAAGGA